TATATAGATATATATAGATATATATAATATATTATAATAATATTTTTTGTTTAAAAATATGATTCCTTCGCTACATAAGAGTTCTCATGTTTCAAAAACGAGAGACGAAATATCCAAATAATTATTAAAATTAAGTTGGATTGTGGTGTTTAGTCCCGTTTCATCTTCAAGCGAAATTTTAGGAATAAGCTATCTCTCGATTTACGTGTGTTTTTAGGCATATTTGTGTTTGTGTGTGTGTGTGTGTGTGTGTGTGTGTGTGTGTGTGTGTGTGTGTGTGTGTGTGTGTGTGTGTGTGTGTGTGCAGATATGTAGGAAAATAAGAAGGAACACGTTAGGTAAATAATCCGGAGTTCTTTAGTATTTTTGTTTTTATATTTTTTAAGAAATAATTATATATATATATATATATATATATTACATCAAAAACATGTAAAATTTTTAAATTAAATGTTACGGACGTTGGAATTGTACTCTATTCCTTCTCATCGAACACACACACACACACACACATACACATATATATAAATAGGGTGTCTGTGTGTATTTTGTAAACTAAAGAATTAAATGGATTTTATTTTTTAATCCAACATTAGTTCCAATTTTATTTCTAGTGAATACCAGTATCCGAGTCGTAGACGCACCATTTTTAAACTATTTATTCCGTCTACCAGCCTATGTACTCGAAAAAAACTATTAAAGAAAATGTTCTGCCTGTCGGTAAATTTTCTTTAATATGTTTTCTCGAGTACGGAGGCCGGTAGACGAAATAGATTCTGTTTGAAAAATAAGCGGGGCGTCTACACAAATACGGTTATCCACTAGAAATAACGTTTGCTGAAGTAATCAAAATATATGTGTATGTATGTATTTTAATAATATTCATGGCTGATTTACTTTTTGCGATGACGTCTGTGCGACTTGTGTTTACTGAAGCTTTTTGAGCCAAATTTTATTTGATTCTCGGCAGGACTAATCATTTACTTACAAGTTAAAAATAGTTTACAGACGAAAAGAGAAGGAAGGAAAATGACACAGAAAAGAAAAAACATGAAGAAAAAAAACAAACAAACAAAAAAAAAAACACGTAGACAAAAAAAAAAAAATAAAAATAAAAAAAATTGCCGGTACAAAATACCTAAAGCTAGGAGAAGGGTTTTCCCACCTACATACACACCTGACAAGAGGACATTAAAATACGCTCAGGTAAAAAGCGTTCACTCCTGATCGGCCGGCAGGTAGGTAGAAAGAAAGGTATGTATTCGGTAACGAAGAAAGAAAAAAAAGAAAGAAAAGAAAGAAAGAAAAAAGAAAGAAAGAAAAAAGAAAGAAATATGAGAATGTGAATTTACAAGAAGAATCTGGAATATCAACACCCATTAAATAAAAAATGTACTTTAAGAATTTGACAATAAATTCAAGGTAGAAATCAAAATTATATATATATATATATATATATAGGTTATTCCAAAACAAATTTACCAAAAGGAAAAATGCATTTAAATTTAACGTATTTTATTATTCAATGTCATTTTTGTCGTCTTCGTGTAGAAAATATAATTTAATGATGTGCTTCTTAGAATTTTTTGCAATAATAAAAGTACCTCTTGTCACACGAATGTGCCTTATAACTAAAGGAGAAAAAATTAAAAAGAAACAATACGGTGATGTGTTTTCAAGACTACCGTTTTACACAGAGGACCACAGTATCTGAAGATGAACTGTAACAACGACTCGAAACGTAGTATGTTTTTTTTATGAAGAATAAAAGAAATGAAATTAAAATACAATGTAACCAGGATATAAGAGACCCGGATATAAGAGAAACCCGGATATAAGAGAGATTTTCTCTGGTCCCAAATTAGAGCCTGTGTTAATGTATATAAAATAGACCAAACCCGGATATAAGAGACTTCTTCTCCGGTCCCGACAACTCTCTTATATCCGGGTTACACTGTAAACAAATCAATATGAATAGTGAGCTGTGTTTTTTGTTTTTTTTGGCTTTCTTTTTTTGGTGTTTTTTTTGCTTGTTTTTTTTTTTTCTTATTTTGCTTTACTTTTTTTTTTTTTGCTAGATTTTTTCTGGGACAGAAGCAAAATAACATTATCAAAAAAATGTACAAAAATGTACATTTGTATGTAAAATTTTTTTTTTTTTGAAATATGACATGTTTTATATATATATATATATATATATATATATATATATATATATATATATATTTTTTTTTTTTTTTACTTACATCTGAAGTTAATTCACAGTTTGCAGGTCGATTATGCCTACTGACCGCCGCTATCCAAATCAAATCCAGGTAGAGAAGTAATACAATGGCCAACGACGCATATAACATGTTTGTCTAAATAAAGCCATGGGCACAGCCTCGGGTAAGGACCGAGGGACGGCGGAAAGAGGTGTACTGGCTTTCTCGGCCACAGACCACCCTCCTACTCTTCCTCCTTCTCCTCCTGCTCCTCCTCCTCCTCCTAAAGTCAGCCG